GGTGTGTGTGGGGGGGGGGGCCGGGACGGACGCGGGCGGTGGGGGAGTGCCGCCCGCGCCCCCGCCGGAGCGAGGGACGGGAGGTCGGGTCTGCGGCGAGGAAGGGACGGGGCGGAAGGGACTAGAGCATCGGAAAAGGTCGCTGGTACTGAGTTACTGGTTAACTGGTCAGTAGCCGTTTGATGTTAGCAGCGCTGGGGGCTGGAGGTTCCCATGCTAAAGGTACATAAGTAATGTAAGTAATTCTCTTATAAGGTTCCTAGGGGTCATGCCTGCTTACAGTGCCGCAGACGATGCGCTGACAACCAAGTTGGTGACTTTTTATGAGCACAAGAAGGATTCCTCAGTCCCTTCTCACCAAGCGACAGTCCTCTTATTTGACCCGAGAAATGGCTCTTTAAAAGCTGTGAGTTTCATGCATCCTGCATTCTCCTCTGTTAATGCTCTGTCAGTTCTCCCTTCTGATTCTCAGAAGCTGGAGCTGGTGTGAATTGGCCTGAGTTTACCTACGTCATCAGTGAAAATGTGTTTGTGCCAAGGGAGGATTTGGCATAAAGCCTCATATGTTGCATATGTGTCAAAGTGTACTCTGTCTGCTCTGTACTGCTGCTTGTGATGTGAAGGGAATCTGTTGGCTGACAGGGTGACTGGAAAAGAGAAATGATCAAGAAAAGTTTACCTTGTGTTTGAAGGAGGAAAAAAACTTGGCTGAATAAAGAATTGATCTTGAACCATTTTAAGTTAAATCTAAAGAGATTTACAAGTAGTATAACAGGGAATAGTATTTGGAGTCTGATTTGGTTTTTGTTTAAAGAATTTAAGAATATTGACCATTTTCATGACACTTTATTGCTAAAGATTATTAATGGGCCAAAAGTGGTCAGGAAAACTATATTGGGCTTTTATTCCTAAACTGTATCAGAAAACATGTCAGTTTTTTAAGCCCCTTAATTCAGTTGTACGCAGCAGCTAATATACACTGAGGCAGGACTGCCCCACTGTGTATGATATGCACTAAAGTAATTCTGTGTTTTACTGTCATCTCGTACAGACCAAGAAAGACAGTGCAGACTCGTGAACCACTGCCAGCTCACACTGGTCCCTGGTCTTACTGGAGTGCAGAGTATTGCAGTTATATCTATCTATTCCCTGTGTTGGAGAGTCAGGGAAGTGCAGTGCATGAAGAGCTGTGTGTTAGGGGTGGCTCAGCTCTGACCAGCTTTCAGTCCATTTGTGCTGGTGGAATGACATGGAAGAACTGGAATAGAGAATCTGCCCAGCTTTAGCATGTGATTTTTATATGGTTTGTGGTTGGTATAATAGTAATTACCAACTTTTATATTTTCATCCGTGCTCTGTAATATCACATAATTCACAAGTTGGATGAAAATGTTTGGTATTTACTCATATTTTCAGTTTTCCTTTAAGTCTGTCTGAACCTTTTTTTTTTTAAAAGGTCCTAGATGGCAGTGTGATTACAGCAAAACGAACAGCTGCAGTTTCTGCAATTGCTACCAAGGTATGTCTTCTGTTTCCTAAATTGGGACAAATTTAGTGGTGTTATATATAAAATAACTAGAAGGAATAATGTAAATGGCTTTCAGTGTATGTGAATTTTCATCAATACAGCTTTAAATTAAATTTATGATAACATATGTACCTTCAGGGGAAAACTTAAAAGCAGAGTTTTCTCTTTTGAGTGAGTCATGTCTGGCTTTAACGTTTTATGTGTCATTGGAGAAGGAGTCTGAGCTATGTTTTTGTGGCTCATTCTGCATCCTCTTCTGGGAATTTACTGAGGTGTCTTCCTCTGTGATTTTTTTTCTTTTGTGCTTGTCTTAACATACTCCTTTATGGTGATGTAGCTGTGGTGATGAATTCAGTTTTATTTAGATGTACACGTTCTGCTGTCGGGCCAGGACAAGTGGGTTTTACTCGACCTGGAGAAAGAGGAAAAAGGCACACTTCCAGGGGGCAATATGGGTCCTCTTAAGATACATGATGCCCAGGATAGATGGGTGACTTGTCCAGAGGTGGCTGGGTGGCTGTCAGTTTCTCTGTCACTGGAAGATGTCCAGATGACTATCCCTGACTACAGCCATAAACTTCAGTGTCTGAAGACAGGTGAGGTATATCTTGCTGTATGTTGCTTTACATCATTTCAATTTCAGTTGGAAATTTTTGGTTTTGAATTCTTTTTTTTAAAACTATATTTGGCTGGGCTGCTAATAGTGGGAGGAGAGCAAGTCACCATCCATTGCACAGTGGGGTTTTGGTCTTCACCTCAAAGGATGAGGCAATAAGAAGAGGGCCAGCACTCTGTTTTTCACCCATCAGCTTTGCATCAGACTGAAGGCTGATCTCACCACTTCATTAGTGGCAGTCTTTATGCCAGCGTGACTCTATCTATGGCAATAGAGCTAAACTGACATAAAATTGGAGAGAAGAACCTGTCCCCAAGAGCTTCCGCTCAATCAAGGGACCAAACAATTTACAATGGATTCCTCGGACATGAGGTTATAGGACCTCATTCTTCTCAGCCATTCTATACTTAGGCAGTTCTGACAGTTTTTACACAGTCAAGGCTGTGCTGGCCTCAAAGGAGCTTGGCTGCTGAAGGGACTTCAAGATCAGATCCTTCATTGTCATCTGCTGTTTTGGGAAATTTTCAGGAGTGTTTGGGTTTAGCTCATAGTTGTCATCTTGTCCTCTTTATGGCATTTGCTTTTCAAAGATCCATGCTTTTATGCAAGGAGCCTTTGAAATCAGTGCTTCAGACTCTTTGAAAGGAACATTAAAAAGAGTTCTTGCTACTGAAAGAATGGGATCAATGAGATTATTTTTTTCAATTTATTTGCAGCAGAAGAAGTGTTGAAAGCCTAGACAATTATAAAGCTTTTTATACAGAAGTGAGTGGCTACAGAAAATGCATGAATGAGACACAAGGATAGCTTTGGGCTGCACTCCAGCGGCCCTCTCTTTACCTTTGCCAAGTACTGGTGAATCGCAGGCAAGAACTACACTAGAAAAGCAATCGTAGAACTGAATTTTAATATTTGTTCCTCAGAACCATCCCTATTTTTACAATACCTGATGCATACGTATCATGGCTCTTACACTGGCAAAGTTTCCTTGTAGTGTGATTTATGGCTTCAGTGAATTGAAAAAAGAAGTTTAGTTTAGTGCTACCAGGACCAGCTTACCCACACAGCTACCGCTTTCAGGACTGATAGTTTTTGGTATTATAAGCCCTGTTTTCAACCAGTGCAGAACATCAATACTATAGTTTTACACTTAGTCACCTAGGTGTGATGTAGTATACTAATACTGGAGTGTGCTGAGGCCCCAGAATTTGCATTGGCTCATGCTGTTGCACATTAGGTCTAAATTTCGAGTGTTGGACAATTCAAAACCAGAATCAAGCCAAGATGTACTTTGGTGCTATTGATACTAGCTTTTGTATTTAAAAAAAATATATATATATAGTGGTAGTTGAATTTTGTTTTATATTAATATGAATCAATACTAGCTTTTGCATAAAAGCATTTTTGTTTGTTTAAAAAGACTAAAGATACTTTCTTTTGTAGTATTTTGATATATATTTGTCATATCTGTTAATATATTGTCCTTACATATTCTTTTTTTTAATATTTGATACTGTTTAGTTGTTAATGCCAGCTTTTGCAGAAGTGCTGTGCATTTTGGGAGCTGGTGTTCAAGCATATAGCCATTATGATATCTTCACAGAGCTGTTCACATTTAAAGAGGTAATGGACACATCTTAACAGGATGCATCTATTTTTCTCTATTATGTTTCAGGAGCACTTAATATAAATAAATCATATTACAGCCAATGAAGTTAAGGGATTAATCATATTTTGGTTTTGTTTTTACAGAACCTAAGAATACTCTGAACAGCTGTAGAATTTCTTACTCAAATATTGGCTTTTTTTAAAAAAAAGGGGGAGGCATTGGAAACAAAGTCAAGTTTCAGATGGCTTTTTCTCTCTGACTGAGAAACTCCTACTGTGTGTGCCATACTTGGATGAGCTTTCTGTGACTTTCCCTTAAATATATTTATTGGAAATATTCGTATTTTATAAATACAGCTCTACAAGGAGCTGTTATTCTGGTATCACAAAGCAGTCATTCAAATGTAGCTGCCCACACATGAGATTTAGTCACTTGTAGGACAAGAACATTAAAGGGGAAAAGAACCCCACGTTTAGATACATGTAATTATCTACTGAAAACTGAAACAATGTTCTGCTTCAGCAAGGAGAAATTCTCCAAGCTAATCTGTTTGTCTTTTTTTTTTTTTTCTTGAAGGTCAGGATATGGAATCGCACCAAAGAGAAAGCAGTGAAGTTTGCTAATTCAGTTAATGGTCCAGTGAGGGTTTGCTCTTCTGCTCAGGAGGCAGTTACTGGGGCTGATGTGATTATAACAGTCACTATGGCAACAACACCAATTTTATTTGGAGACTGGGTAAAACCAGGTGCCCATATCAATGGTATGCTATGTTCTCATTGTTTAAAGGATACATTTATTATTACATTGTTTAGCATCAGAAACTGTTGAAAAGCAGTACTCTCTGCTTCTCAGAATGAATATTCTTTCCAGTTTAACTTTTCCCATATAGTGAGGACCACTTTTTCCACTCCTGTCTTCCTGGTCGTCTGGAGCTGGAACTCCTGCATATTCCAGCATTGGATGTTTGCTAGAGCATGGGATATGCTTTTTCCCTGGTGGTGTATCATCTTTGCTACCATGCTGTCACTTGATGCTCACCTTGCTCTTCATTTAAATAACCCATACAAACATGTTATTTCCAAAGCAATTCCTGCTCATTCTGCTGTTTCCCTGGTAGATGTCATCTTTTTTTCACCCAATTTTGTAAGTTCCTCTTTTGTTCCTTTTTGGGCTGATAATGTTGAGGTGGAGTTTTTTGTTTGTTTCGTTTTGGTTTTGTTTTTCTACTTGAGTTGAACTTCACAATCTGTCCTCTACAGTGAGGTTTGGGGGGCTTTCCTCTTTCCCTCCCCCCTGGCCTTGTGATGATGTTGCCACGCTATTGTTTGGAGTCTCTGGACATGCCAGCATTTGCTTATTTTATTAATTGTGGGCCTGGTTCAGATGACCCTGTGCACTTTCCAAATAGCATGGTAATAAGACAAAAGCAATTTGTCAAAGGAAACAATTTAAAGGAAGGTCCCACATTCCAGTAGCATCCTACCAATTTTTCAAACTCAATTTAGTCCTTTGTCATTGAATGTTGTTGTCTGTGTTATGTCATGGAGTGGAAGCCAGAAGTACAACCAAAATGAATTAAGGTCTACAGTCCCTGAGGCGACACATACACAAAGACCTCTCTCCTTTCTTTGCCTCCTTTTTGTTTTTTTTCCCTCTCTCCAACAAGGCATTTTTGCTGTTGAAGAGGTATTCAGGCAACATGGAATTTATTATTCTGTAACAGTTGGACACTTTTAACAAACACTTGACTACAGTATAATTGTTTTGTTTTTTTGTTTTTTAGCCCATAACAAGTTTATAGTTGTCTTGCTATAGTTAAAAAGTTAACGTCCTTGATTTGTTTTCAGTTTCTCCAGATAAGTAAAAATCCATAACCTGCTCAATTTGTACTGCTTATAAAGTTACAAGGAAATAATAGAAGGCTATAGGTTTAAAAATCCTAATTAGTAACATTGAACTCTGTCTGCATGTCCAAGTCTTTGCTGCACAATACTTTGGTTCTCATCTGTCCAGGATAATTGAGGGATTTTTCAAATCTTATTTTTCTCTGTAGACACATAGCAAACACAGTCTGGATCAAATGAAAGGACTATAAAATTCAGGGCATTTGGTAATGATCTGATGAAAGACAAGGGTACAAGAGATAATGGACAAAGGGAGATGATTTTCTTATGCCTCAGCTACCCAGAGTCTGCTGACAAGGAAATTCTACTGATAAATCAGTTGTTGAATATTTTAGAGGAGCTGTATTAGGTGTTAGCTAACTCTATTTAAAAAATAAAAAGCAACAAAAACCTGTTAATTTGGCAGTTGCAGAAACAGGCTACTGTTTGTCTGCGGAAGAGTTGTAGTCTGTATAAGCTTAAGATTATTTTCCCTGAGCTGAATCACCAAATGATCAAAATTTATTCTAACAGTGCCTTCTGTAAGCAGAACAGAATAATTATGTTACACTTACATACTTGTGTCATTTTCAAGGCTCCTAGCAAAGGTTTGTTTGTTTTGTAGCTATACATAGTTACACATCTTTCCATTTCTTGTATTGGTAAGAGATGATGAAGGGCTAAGCAGGGCTACCTCCCCTTCTCTTCTGTCAGCATTATTCGGAAGAAGCAGTTTGACTAGTGTACCAAAGAGGTGGAAACAGTGTCAGCAAAGAATCTCACTCTGCTTCCTGAGGAGTTGCAGTTTAATGCTCTAGCAGGTTGAAATGCAAAGGCCAATTGATTCCAGTTGTTCTGGCTGTGCTTATGGGGAATATAAGACTTTTGTCGCCAGCAGCATCTGCATGACTAGAGGTCAAGGATGCTGTACGTTTTAATGAGCTGTAAACTGGGGGGTTGGACCCAATGTCATCCTTCATTGACATCAGTGGAAATTTAGGGGGTTAGCACTTTACAGAAACCAGCCATCTATATGTCAGCTGAAGCCAGGTTGAGAGAAATCCAGGCTTTTTCTGAGTTGCTAAGGCACATCCTATTTTTTTTGTTGTTCTGTTGTTCAGCATGTCTCCAGTGCTAGCATCAGATTGTTTGTATATTGCATTTCCACAATAATGTCTATTGTTAGTTCACATATGTCTTTTGGACAAAATACGGTTTGAATTTGTTTTAAACATTCCTCCCAAGTTCATCAGTTTTGTTGTCTTAGCTGTTGGAGCAAGCAGACCAGACTGGAGAGAACTGGACGATGAACTGATGAAGAATTCTGTTCTGTTTGTGGATTCCAGAGAGGCTGCTCTTACGGAATCGGGAGATGTTATATTATCAGGGGTAAGACTTAAATTATGAACTTTATTTTTGTGGCAATTGGCTTGTATATGAAACCGATGATGTGCTGCACTGAAACTTCTTAGAGCATCAGATGTAGTTGTTAACACATTCCAGGCACAGGCTGAAAGATAAACTGGTTTCAGACTGAGACTTTTATATGTCTCTGCCAAAACCATGTAACTTCTGTGTTGGCCATTACATGGCACCATATTACAGTAGCATGTTTCCAGCATTGGCCTTTGTGTACAATAACAATGTATTGTTTTTGAAAGACCTACATTTCCTGCAATGTTTGGTAGTTATGTTAAATATTTTTCAAATCTATTTATTAAAACCTGTAACTTTCTTCCCATAAGATTTCAGTGTGATTGACACACATCAGGCCTCTAGAGAATGGACAACAGAAGCCAAGCAGACAGTCTGTGATCTGCAGAAATTTGACAGCAGGGACTCTTTTAGGTTTAATGGAGTTTTATTTTTCTCTTTTAATGTTTTTGCAGAACAATTGATTTCCACTTTTGAGGTTTAACATAAGAGGTCCAGATACAGTAAGGTGTGTGGAATCCCATGTGTTTTGTTGGATAAGTAACAAGCTATCCACTGTAAAAAAAACCTTACTGACTGAGGAAAGTCTGTCAGCTGTTTTTCTCTGAAAACCATTCCATTCCTCTGTGATTTCTGTCCGGTTTCTCTATTATTTGTCTGAACACTGATCTGCTACACCATGGAAAGGAGTCAGTTCTGAGATAGCAGAACTGGAGGAGTTCATTCTTTTGAAGTCACTCAAAAAAAGTTTTTCTCTTAACATATTGTATGGATATTATGTTTTTGTATAAAATATGTATTTGTTTCACAGGCAGAGATTTTTGCTGAGCTGGGAGAGGTAGTGAAGGGTACAAAACCAGCCCTGCCTGAGAAAACAACAGTGTTTAAATCACTGGGTAAGAACAACCCCTCCTGTGTACAAGTCTGACAGAAAACAATGCCTTGTTATTTATTAAGTCCCCCATGCGTGGGAAAGCTGCTGATCATCTTCAAAACTGCTGTGGCAATGCACTGTCCACAAGAAACTAGACTGTGATTTGCATTTTTCCTTTTAATTTCCCTTTTTATCTAGCAGGACTGATGTAACAAAAAGTGATAGGAAAGCAAACAAACAATAGGAAGAAGTACATTTTCCATTTCACAGTTTTTCAACACATGACTGCAGTGTTTATTAATGCAGCTCCAACCTGAATGCCCTGCTGTTATGCCCCTGGAGTCTGTCTGACCTACAGACAATGTGACAGTGTACTGTGGGGTTGGAGTTGATGTTTGGGGGAAAGAGCGGAAGCGGTGATGGATTGCAGTGCTCTGAGCTGCGTGACGTGCCTGAAAGGGCCAAGATGTGATATGAACACTGAAAACTAGATTCATGCTGTTGCATTAGCTTCATATAGTACACCTAACAGTTATATAATAGCTATAAATTTTGAACGTAACACTGTAGGTGTTTGGGATGGAGAATTTCTGTTTCTGTCAAGTTAGATAACTTCCTGAGTCCTCTTGTTCCCTTCCGAAGCTAAATTATTTTGTACAGCTGAAGAATTGTTTGAAGGTGACTTTAATTCTCTTTTAGGGATGGCAGTTGAAGATACAGTAGCAGCAAAATTTGTTTATGACTCGTGGTCAGCTGGTAACTAAAGAGAGAAGTCTACAATGCCAACGAGGCCGAGAAAATTGTTTGCACTAAGTTTCCTTGGATCTTTTGTTAACAAGAAGGGCCACATTCAGAGAGGATTGGTGCCTTTTAGAACATTCAAGAATGAAAAGTAAAATCTCAGCAATAGACTAATTTTTACAGTTTTCTAATGGCAAGTATTAGATACCTGCAGTATGACTAATAAATGCATCTCATGTAATGGCAAATACTAGATGTTTGCAGTGATGCTAACAAGGGTATTTTTACATATTTTGGTATAATTCTGCAATCAATGCCTTTCCTCCCTAATTATATAGTAGCAGAGGTCTGTGGGTAGATTTTGTGTTTTTAGAGAGGTAAAATATACTGGAGTAAAATATATCAGTTTGGAGAATGGAGTCTGGCACCATATTTACCTGTGATGATACTTTAAAGGCATCTGTGGATTTCAGTGCTATACTGACAGTAACCTAGTCTCTCCTGGGACCACAGCCCGCCTCTGAATCCTGCATAGCCCTTCCCTTCTAACTCAGACTGGGATCTGGAAGTCACCATACTTACTTTCACCCCTTCCCTGCCCTCAGCCCCAATGCTTGGGGTTTTTTTGGATTTTTTTTTTTTTCATTTAAGAGCACATGCCTGAGTGAGAGTTTATGTAAATGATGATGCCTCCATACAGTTATATTTCTGTCTGGGTTTGTAAAAGACCTGGCTCAGGAAGATTTAAAGAGTGCAAACTGGGAGGAAACTGTACTCAATACCTCTCTTAATGTGTTCCTGGGTGGGATATTGTCATTTTCACATTGCAAGGAGTTACCCAAAATGTGAGCACTAGAAATGTGTTTTTATTTAACTTTTATCTATTCTGTAGGGAGATGTTATTAATCTATGGTGTTTGTAAATTCTTTTTCTAAGCTTCATGAAGGTTGGAACCATGCAAGTTGATTTCAGTAGGGTAAACTTCAAGTATACAGGCAAATATTTTCAGCTTGGCTGTACTCGATGGGTATTTGTTGGGGCAGGAATTTCCATGATTGTTTCTTGGCGGAGGAACACAGTGATGTTCTACGTAAGGAAAAGTTCCAGTTCTATGCTGTTATGCAACTGCCTTACAAAAGATTGAGCATCTGCTGAAAAAATAGCCATTGCCCTGGAAACAAATTCCTGTCTCAGGCTAGAGTTGTGCCTTATGAAATTTTATTTCTTCTTGCATATTATTTCATGCAGGCTATTAAGTGTTTCTTTGTTCTGTGGAAGGATTAGATGACACAGTCATTCTATACTGAAGCCAGTAGAATACAGTGGAGCAACAGGAAGGAGGTTCAGAGGTGGTTAGCATTAAAGCCCTTGATGGTATATAAGTAAGTATAGAAGAGGTTAATGAGTACAGTGCAGATGTGACATAAATAATACTCCAAATTATAAGCCTGTTTTAAACTAGTTGGAAAAAAGTAGTAAGTGGCAGAGTTTGTAATTTGCAGAGTTTTAGCATGAAGGGTACCAGACCCGTAAGTGAACAGGGCCAAAGGATGTGTTCATGTGGATAGAAGTCTAACTCCATTGATCTTGTTTATATCAGCAGAAACAAGAACAAAAATTTCTCTATAAGCTTTTACATTTTTTTAATTGTAGCAAAATTACCCTTCTATTTTTACATGTCTTTTTTCTTTGTCATTTCTGAAGCATTCAGAAATTTAGGTGTTGACTTAGCCTGTTACTTCAGCAATAGAGAACTCCACTAGCTTGAGACAAAAGTGATAGCCATTGATGTTCCATAATTCAAGAACTGTGTGGAAACTTGCATTTACTATTTAAGACAATATTATCCCAGTTCTGTGCCTGTGTAAAACAAGTTTTGTAATTTAAAGTGAGACATAGTCTCGGGAAGAAGACAAAGTTTATTTTCACACCTACTCTTCTACAGACTTTGCACTTTAAAAGTAGATGGAACCAGTCCAAAAACCTGGTTCTGAAAACCCACAGTGTTCTCAGCTTTCATTGGCAATAGGAGATTCTGGGAGCCTGGCTTCAGCATTGTACCTCTGAATTCATGAAGAGGATTTGATCCAGTTACAATGGGAGTTGCTTGGATGCTGTCTTTAGATTTTTTTTTTTTTGAGGGAAAATAATAGCCTTAATTTCCATGTTTCCTTCCCTTACAAATCAGAGTGTCAAATTGTGTAACTTGCATTTATGTTAAAATTAAATAGATACTGCTGTTCTTTGACTTTCATTTTGTTGTCCATTACTTTTTGTTTTGGGTGTGGTGGTTTTTTGGGTTGTGGTGGTTTTTTGTGGGTTGTTGGGGTTTTTTTTTTGAAGGTGAGGAAGAAAGTATTCAAGTTGTTGCAGTGACTACTTTATCAGTAAAGGTGATCAATGAATGTGAAGGGGAAAATAAATTGAGACTGCTCTATTCCACTGTGATACGCGGTTTTGCAGTCACTATCCCACGCTGTACATTCCTTCCTCTTGATGTCTGTCCAGTGCAGAGCATTAAATCATTAAGGAAGGAGAATCTTGTACTTGGCAGGGCTGTGATTATGTGAGATCCTGTGGTTTTATGTTCTGGGTTTGGACTGGGTTATAAGACTGCATGTGATATGTAAAAAGTGTCTCCAAATGAACTGTGCTGTACAGATGTTACTAAGGAGTCATATCTGGGATTCAGTAATTTAAATAGTTCAAATAATAGAAGAAACAAAGGGTTTGGTGAAAAAAATTTGGAAAACAGCAAAGCACATAAGTGGAAAAACCTGAAATGTGAGTGTTCCTTTTTATTTCCACCCCCCCGCTCCCCTGCCTTGTTCCACAGGCTGCTTTATACCAGAGGCCAATTTCCAGGACCACCCTGCAAGAAAAGGACTAGTGCTATTCCACTTTTTAAAATATATATTAAAGGGGAATATATATCAGGGTTGATTCAGTTGCCTAAAAATAAGTGTTGTGGGGTGCTCTGGGGCTTCTTATTCAGTCTCTAGATGCAGTTCCAGGAGGGCAAGGAGCTCCTTCTCATAGATCTTGTGCTGTATCTGCTAGTTCCATAGAGTTACTGTGGATACCTAAGGACATACCAAAGCATGCTGGTTGTCAGAGGTTGCAGCAGTTGGGCAGATTTACAGATGAGTATGCAGAGAGGCAGATTTTCAATTGCAATTTAGAGAAATGTGGGGCCTATCCCAGAACTGCTGAAGCTGTTCTGTGATAATGGCTGTTATTGGACAGGTCTTCCGTGAGTGACACCACTCATTGATGTTTTGATGGTGTGTTATGGGCAGGTCACAAGCATTTGGGCAGGTAAAGCACCAGCAAATACATCAGTTATGTGACTGGTAGGATTTGACCCTTGAAAATCCACTCATCATATGCCCTCGAATGTGTAAGATTCATCATTTCCTTCTTGCTTTGTTAAATGTTTGGGAGTTTCTTAGCTAAAATGAAAACAACCCAGCTGGTTAATTATACAGAGTCTGGGGGGATGCTGTGTGATTTAATTACTGTGCTCAGTACAGTAGTCATTTAAGGTTGTGCAGAACAGGACTCTGATGGGACTGCTTAATAGAAGAAAATATCAACCTGCTGAAGTACCGGAGTCCAAGGAGGAAAGAATGCAGTATAAAGTCCAGCCAAGAAAAGAAATTATAATATGCTTCGTGAGTGAGTGGCTGCGTGGTGCTTAGTTGCTGGCTGGGGTTAAACCACGACAAAATCAAAGTAACAAGAAGATGTGGAAATAAGGAAGCATGAAAAAATAGGTTATTAATTATGATTAGTCTCCACAAATGCAGTATACCCCTAAGGAAAAAAATGATAGCTTACTCATGGAAAGCTATAAAAAGAGATTTAAAGATAAAAGTCCTGGTAATAATTGTGCCTCTAAAATCAGATCTTAGCCAGAGTAAGGCTGCTACAAGCACCTTCCTAGATTCACAAAACTCAATAGGAGTGATTAATTCATAGCGGATAGTGCTGTCTTCCCAAGGGAGCAGGCCTGAGAGAGATGGAGGGAACTCTGCTGTAAATGCCTCCAGACAGACCGTGAAGAACAGGAGCTTTCAGAGAAGCAAGGTCTAATTTTCTTTCTCTTTTCATGAGCTGGGTGTGTGTGTTACATGCAGTTTTCAGGCTGAGGCTAACAAAAACCAACAGAAAAGGCTGGGCAATGAGAGTCCTGCTTTCTGGGACTTCACGTGGCAAATGCACCCTATAGCAACCAAGCTGAGGATATAGCAAAACAGATAAAGAATGTTGAAAATAAAACCTCAGCTTCTTGTAGTTAAAAGTATTGCAGTTTTGATGCCATTTAGGACATGATGGGTGCTGGGGACTGGGTCCAGTCTAATGAGACAAGAAAAGAATATACAACTCACACTGAACATCTTCTGGCAAGGTACTTCATATATTTTTAAATTAATATCAATACAGTAGCAAAACAGTTTACTGACAAGAACACAAAACTTGCTGTAAATTAGTCTTATTTACATTCATTCAGAGGTTATTAAAGTCAACAAGCCACAGCTGAAATCAAGATTCAGATGCTATTTCTAACATATTATCAGTACTAGGAAGGGTGGTTTGTACCAATCTAACAAAGCAAATGGAGAAAACAAAGCTCTCAAGCTTTGGGAATGCTGTTTGCATCATGGTTTTGGAGAAGGGAAGGGCTTTATTAAGGAATGTAGCGTGGCTGGCCTTCACTAATATTTTAAGTTATTCTGATGAGAAGAAATCCAATCCCCATAAACAGTTCAGGGAGAAAAAGGTTTAAATCTATAGTTTTTGGGTTTTCACCTTCGCATTCTTTCTTTTTGGCAGAATATACTTGAACTAATATCCTGTGCACCAGAGCCATCTATCCAGAGGGAAAAATCTTTGTCCTTGCTGTACTTTCTAAAGCAATTGCTAATCTCTCTGCCTTTTGCTTTAGCAGACTTCTGGAAAGAATTGCATGCTTTTTGGAAAGAGGAAAAGAATGAATCAGTGTGCAGGTTACAGCAACAGGTGTGTTAATTTATAAGCAAGTATCTACAGTCTTTCCAGGGTTCTTGAGTGCTTGTTTTCTTTTATTCATGGCATTCAGG